AAAGGTTCATGTTAAGGGAGATTTGCAGAAAAATGTCCTTTGATAAAGTCTGAGATTAGACTGAATGCTTAGCATTTGGAATTGACCAAGTGTGCTCATCTTCCACAATTTACAATTCATTTCTCTTTTCTGATAAACAAGCCTGTTTCTTGTCACCTCTGCCCCCCATTCCTAAGCTATTTCAGAAGAAATTGATAGGAGAGCAGAGCACGGTATGAAATCAGGATCTGAAAAGATGTGTTACAGAAAACTTTAGGTGGTTTTTGAAGCTTTTTTGTTTTTTGTCATGTTTAGGGGCAGTTCCAATTTACAGTGTCTTAAATGGAATGTATGATCTCATAGCCAAAGCCAAAACAAGTTGATGTTTTTTCATTATCTAAAAAAGTGATACAGAAATTTAAAGTAATTAAAATTTAATACTAGGAAAAATACATTTGTGGAAAAAGTATCAAACATTTTCTTAATCTTTGCACTTAAATACAATTAATTTTCATTTTATTTTATGACTTTTCCTCATGTTTGTGTAAGAGATTAAGGAAACTACCAAGTTTACATAAATTCAGTTACTTTAAAGTGTGGATATAGAAGTTATATAGATTTATAACATTGTAAACAATTAAAATTACATTTCAAAACATTTAAAATTTAACAGCTATAGTTTTTATCAATAGATTTGAGCACATTAAGAATTTAAGAGGGATTTTGATTGTATTTTCCCCATAATAGACTAAAGACTCAAGTCAAAAGGATTTAAAAAAAATTGTTACTATTAAAAGACATTTCACCCTCATTAATTCTGTTAGCTGAACTGGTTGTTTTCTCTGTGTTTTACAACAGACCAACTCTGTAAGCTTCATATATTAAAAAATTAAAATAGCTTACATATTTTTCTTAGAATAAGATAAACCACCAATCTTTTTATTATCCACTATATTCCTGATACGTTAAATAACTATATTTGAATTAACTTCAAGTCTAAGCTATTTAATCACATTGCTTTACTATTTAGGTGAAAAAAAAGTTTTTAAAAATTGGCCTAATAGGGGTATCTAATTAATTTTGTTATGAAGTATCTACAAAGACCAAAGCAATCTTTTGAAGATATTGGGATAAAATATGCTAAAACACTGGCAAAAAAATGGTATTTTATTTTAGAAAGCAATCAAGCATGCAGAAGTTTGCCTGGACTCTTGATTCAGACCCCTAATCTGTATTCCTCTCTCATCTTCACAGATCAGCCAGATAATATTTTCAAAACCCAAATCTAGTCCTGTTGTCTTTGCTGAAAGCCTTCCATTCCATTACTGTAAATGAACTTCATGGCCTTGTCAGAAAGGTCTTTCAAGGCCTGTCCCCTGCTGCCCGCCCAACCCCATTTGTACCACTTGTCCCCTCACTCTGGGCAGTGGCACACAGACTTTCAGTTTGGAGAGTGCCTGTTTCCTCTGCTGAAAGTGTCATGTGCCTGCTCAGAATACTTTTCGTTCTCCCTCACATCTAGCTGAATGCTCACTGTTCTTCTCTCAGGTTTCTAATCTAGTGTCCCTTCCCCAGATAATTCTTGTTTCTGAATCCTGTAATCAGTGCAAAGCCCCACACATACGATAATAGTATTAAATGTTCCTTCTTTATGGTACCTGACAGAAATGTAGTTTTATGTGTTTATTTTATCATTTGTTTAGAGCTTTACTCTCTACTAGGCAGGATGCTCACTGAAGGCAGAGATTATACTTACCATTGGTCATCACTATAAGGTAGCCTGAGGACTAAGTCAGTTCCTCTGCTACTTAGTAGATCTTGATGAGTACTTTTTAAACAGATGGCCAAATGAATAAACTTGAAAATTCTTAGAAAGTTTGTACAGGTAACCAGTATGATCCCCATGTGTATCTTGAATCTATTAAGAAATGGTTCCATTGAATAACCTTCTGTGAACCCTCCCCTTTTTCTGAATTGTTGAACAAAAGATGTTTCAGATGGTGCTAATCACACTGGCAAGCCTGGTGGCCCAAACAGAGTGCTGCTGAAGGAACAAAGGTTCCATTATTGACAGGATTTGTACCAACTCACTTTGACCAAAGACCAGGCAATGTCACTTAGTAGAGAGAGTACAATGCTGATTAAGAGTCATGGTGTGTTTAATACTGTCTTTCACTTGTTCTAACCACTCTAAAATAAAAAATTGGCTTAGGTAGTATATTCTGCCATATGAGTCTATTTTTATAGAAAATGTGTCTTTTGGAAAATAATTATTAAATCCAGGCCAAATCACAATACAGAGGTTCTAGCATTCAGGTAGGGCCCTTAGCCAAAATGTTGTATATCTAACAAGTACTAAAAGAAAACTTTACCTATTCACAGTTTTGTCAGATACATATTCTATGATAGTCATTCGATTAATAAGGAAATCAAACAGGATTACTGAACAAAGAACTTGATAGAAGAACAGGCAAGAACATTGGTTTGAATGCTGGAAGATCTGAGTTCCTATCCTTGTTCTCAAGTGCAAGTCAGTCATACTTTTGGGTTGAAGTTATTTTTATGTAAATTAAAATTTCCCTGGAATGAGGTATTCTATGAGTTGCTCTCCATGTAATGTGTCCAGAGTTTGGGGTAATTTTTCTTCTCTGTGAATGGAGACTGAGAAACTTCAAGAAGACCAAGCATAGAAATTGATTTGTATGCCCTGGAGTTGGGCAAGTAGTATATTATTATTATTATTAAAACCATGGGTGAAATATTTAAATGGCGATTGCAAACCCAGAGAACTGCACTTGGGAAGAAACTACACTTCTACAGAGAATGAATAAATCGTACATATTTTCATTTAACCAAATACAGGATTTTTGTGAGGGATTTCTGGCCTGGAATTGACTTAGATCCTACCCAAGAAACCCACCTGGAAGAATCAGGGGACATGATGAAGTATACATTCTGTAGCCACAACATGAGGGAGAAATGTAAAACAGCCAGCTGGAAAGACACATTCATCTGCATCAAGGGAACTTGATTGGGCCACCCCTGAGGATCCCAAGAAAAGGCTCATGATCAAAACAACCATCTTAAATCATCTACCAATGCCCTTGGAACCCAGTAACAAATTAGTACCATGCAAATGAGAGGATTCATGTCTCTGATTCCTGCTACTTCCAGCTCCTGAAGGAATCACAGAGAGCTCAGTGAGTAGGGGTAGAAACACAGACACCCTAGGAGGGAAATCAGGGAGGAGGAGCCCACTCCTCTGCCTTACCTCTGCTCCATCTGCCCCAAGCCCAAGCTACAGAGAGCAAAGAACCTTAACCCAAATGAAGTCATTTGTGCATGTGTGTGTGTACCCGGACTGGACATACTAATTAATGAATTGAGATTAATTTATATTAAAAAATGGAAGACTTTTTTTCTTTGAATGTGAATTGAAATGGCATGTGTCTGCCGGAGATTTTATTTAAAGACAGAGAAATAAGTATCTCACAGAGCTGGTCTGAATAGGTTGTGTACCAGTTACAGTATGAGCATATGATATCGTAACACTGCACTTCCAAAGCAGCACTGAGAGGACAAAGACTAGAAGTAATTCAAAATTGGGGACAGGAGGCAGCACTACATGTTTTCCAGAGGTTAAGGTTAAAGTACTGAGAGAAAACGTGTTCTCGCAAGAAAACTGTAGCAATATTGCCTTGTAGTCTAGACAGAACCACTAGTTCATTCTAATTACTCAACAAACTTAAAAAAGTACAGAAGGCATGCTAAATAAATAGCTATCATTTACAGTAACGTAATGAAAGTTAAATATTTTTAAGAGTAATATGTTTACCAGTGTATTAATTATGGAGCTAAGTGGCCAAAGAGTGGGGCAGAAATCAGCTAATGTCACTTATGATTATTATTTCAGTGATGAAGCTGTCCCCAGCACCAGAGCGTTCTGCTGTCCTCAGCCCACCTTAGGGTCAGAGAGGGTGCTGCCCTTGTCTGCTCTGTGAGGTCATGGAGTGACAGCCAGAAAATAACTGGTTATTATAGGACCAGATTCTTCCTTAAACATTTAACTTCAATTGAAGAAATTCCCTGAGTGGCTCAAGACAACAACAATAAATTGAGACTATTTATTGCACAAATAAACAAATAGCCTATTAACCTAAGTGGCCTACACATTGGGTGTTACAACAAGACAAATTTTTTAGCCTCAGTTTCTTTAAAAAACAAGGAGCTTTATCTTATAGTTTCACACTAAACACAGCAAGCCATGTAATTCCTCTGTTAGTGCACACCATTGGCCAAAAGTAGACTCATGGAGAATCTATGATATCTATTTGAAAAACTGAGAACCATAGGTTCAGATGTGAAGTTGGTAGAAATTTTATTTATAATACTGTATACATATGTATCATATAAATACTTAACAAAATATATTTACACTGAGTCACAGGGAATATATTACCAAAAATAAATTAGTTACTATATTATTTTTCTATACTTAATATTTCATGGATATGTGATGTGTTTTTAAATTGCATTTCCACATTTTCCATAGCTTGTGAAACATACCACTAATTAAAACTGCATCATATTCTCTCTTCAACTGTTTATTTTGTACATACCTACATTAAAAAATAAAAACAAAGTTCAGGCCTACCATAATAAGCACGAAGTGGTTGAAGATTTTTCCATCATAGACCTTAAGTCTTGTGTTTCCTTTGTATTACTCACTTCATCACCTAATCAATGTAAAGGAAATCTTGGTTCTATTATCCTGAGTCTCATTGGAGTAGATTACTATTTACATTGCTGTCTCAACCAATGGATATAAAATTGCCACAGTATAGTTTGTATTTACATGTGTGCCTAAAACTTTTTCATAGACTTATTTAATCTCTAGTTAGTATGATATACACTTGGTATCACAACATTTGGGCTGCCATTTTTATCCAAAAATGTTAAGTTGCTTTAATTGCATTTCTATGAATGACTTACAACTAAACATCTCGTCCTTGTTTTAACAGCTGAAGATGCATGTGGAGGAACAATGAGAGGATCCAGGGGCATCATGTCAAGCCCTGGTTTTCCTAATGAGCATCCTAACAATGCTGACTGCACTTGGACCATTGTAGCAGAGCCTGGGGACACAATTTCACTCAGTTACTGATTTCCGAATGGAAGAAAAGTATGATTACTTAGAAATAGAAGGTTCTGAGCCCCCTACAGTATAGTAAGTAGATAGTTTCCTTTAATCTAGCATTGTTGCCATTGACTGAGGTAAACATCTCTAAGTGGACCTTTAAAGCTTGAGGTATTTAAAATAACTTACAGGGAAATTATAAGGGGCAATTGTTAGAGCTGAGGGATATTTTTGAAGATTAAGATACTGATATTAAATCAATTGTTTCTTTGAAAGATGGAACTTTCCATTAGTATTTCTTTATCACTCAGTGAAAAGTAATATGACTTTATCAAAACTTGTATTAAGGAATAAAAGTTGTTCCTAATGTAACCTGCATTGTATTCCTTAGCATGCCAGGCCATACTTAGTGGTTTCTTTCAAATTAGTTTAATAGTTGTAGAAGTAATTTGCCTTTGTTTTTGTAGATAGATCTTTTATGTAGCTTGTTATCTGATGGCAAAAATTAAATTCTATGATATGGGTGAGTTTGGTCTGTTTCTTTAGAGACTATGGTCTTATAAGAATTAAAGAGTTTTTAGAATGTGCTTTTAAGGTAAAATATTTTTACAAAAGAACATATTCATGCTATTTAAAAATATGAATGTGTCAATATCAGTGAAGTGTAAAATAGATTATGAATCAGTAATTGAATGAAGAATGATGAGATTGCTTAAGTAAAGAAATGTGTAAACACTAGGCTAGGAAGGGCCTTTGAGGCCAAGTAAAGGATGTGATCAGAACAGTGGGAATTCATTAAAGTGTTTTGTCAAAAACAATTGCATGAATAGGTTTGGATTTTCAAATTATTATTACTGAAGTGTAAATATTGATTGAAGTGTGGCTCAGTTAGCTGTAGGAAGATCACTTAAAAGATGATTGCTGAAAAATCATGGTAGCTCAGATTAGGATGGTATTGAAAAAGAAGTAGAATGGGTTGAGATATATTTAGGAGGTGTAATGAAAAGAACTCTAATTGAGTAGCGATAAGATGATATTTACAACTAAAACATTTTCTAACTTGCAAAATTTGGTAAAGGCAGTAGAAATACTGAGTTGGAAAACGTTGAAGGGAAGTCAAGTTTAGAGTGGAAATGCTATGAATATTGAGGTTTGTTTTAGATATATTTAGTTTGAAGTTTCTTTGAGATATGTTATTAAAGCCATCCAAAAGACAGATATAACTATATGATACAGAAGCTCTGAGAAGCATAACTGATATGTAGTTCACATTGATGGTAACTGAACCAGTAGGCATCAGTAATGTTGGTTAAATAGAGACAGGATAGAATGAGAAGACAGGAGGGGACTAGGACTGAGTCTGAGCATCAACAACATATAAGGCCCAGGCTTATGAAGATGATTCAGTAAAGGAGCCTGAGGTAGTATATTCAGAGAGGCAGGAGAAAATCTAAGGGAATAAGGTATCATACAGACAAGAGAAGTATGGAAAAGAAAAAGTTGACAACATTGTGGATTGCTGCTGAAAATATACTAAATTTTTTTGAAAACGTGTTAACAGTTGGCTGTGCTTGAACAAAAATACCAACTGTTTTTATCATGTCAGTGCATAACTTTAAAGATAAGACAAAAATAGCACAGTCAACTATGTCCATTTTGTTTTTTGTTTGTTTTGTATTTTCTTCTACCTTCTTCTATCTCTACTTTCAAGACACCAGTACTCAGTGGCATATAACTTTAACTCTTCCCATGCAAACTTCATGCCTGGGTGCAATGAAACCTTCAGAATCCTGGTTTAAGATGCGAGATAATTCAAAAACTGATGTTTTAGAAATTGCTATTCTATAGTGATACATCATATCTGAGTCTTATGAAGGTTGAATTTTTTTATAATGTCATGAGTTTTCCAATTATTGTATCTGTAGATACACAAGTGATTCCATTAGAAATGAAGTTTTTAAACTTAAAAAATATTTGACTACTAGTTATAATAAAGGAAACTAGAAAGCAGTGTTTTGTAGTACATTTTCTTTTTACCATTGAACTCTAGAAACCACATCAATCAAACACATGTACTCTAGAGATCATAGTATCACCATTTATGTTCATAGAGTCACTTTCTCTTTTCAGATTAAACATTCTTGGTTAATGATTTGTATGTTTCTTATCTATCAACATCTATTTATATGTTTCTGAGTTCCTAGAACAAATGAAGCTTGTCTAATAATAGCATGGGACCCAAAAATTGCTCTTCTCTCCATTTTCTTCTGAAATGACACTGGGCCACTTTACTTATTACCATCTTCCTTGGGAAGAAAACAGCAACTAAGATATTCATTGTTTTACTGTCCTTTTAATTAGTGTTACAGTAAATGTTTAGGTAGACCTGTCAAAATCCTGGTTATATAATATAACATGAATAAGTCATTTGGCACTTCTCAAGAAAATAATAGAGATACCCAAACTATATTATATTCCTATAAATGCCAATTTAAAGATAGTGTCAATAAATTAATATTACTGTATATAGTCACTTAAATGTCATAAAAACATTCTTTTTACTTGTATTAATTACACAATTGGTACATAAAATGTTCTGTAAATAATTAAAAGGAAACTTTAAGTCTATTCCTGGCCCTGCAGTCCCTTCAAGTCCTTT